CAAACACAGTCCTAGCACAAACTTGAAATTTGAACCTTGGCTGGAAGAAAATTTTAGCAGCAGGACCTCCCTAAATTTGAATTAATTACCTCTGAACTAGGAACGTCTAACCGTGTCCCTGGCTCTCAGAAGTGAAATCCTGCTAACAATTTGAAGAGAATGTACTCCTGAATGTGGAATGAAGAGTACAAAGCTATATTCTGGCTGTCACTCAGACTGGGAAAATCTCTCCAGTGCAGACATAAATAGCAATAAAAACAAAAGCAAAGCAGGTTTTGAATGAAGTTCCATTTTTGAGAAAGTACATAATGTACATATTTCTCATTAACGTTTAGAAGAAATTCTGGGTGTTAAGGGCACTCTGTTACAAAGCAAAACACTTTCTGAAGGAAACTGCAATTCCTGACTTAGACAGTTTAGTTGTTTTGTGGTGTTTCAGTATGTTTAACCGTTTTTTCCGACCGCCCTATGGCAGAACTACTGCTACAGGGTGGCAGGGCTGCGCAAAATCGTGTATATATACGTGATTTTGCATTTCCGGGTAGGGAGGGCGCACGCGTGGCGCCCTGCCCGCGCTGCCATTGGCGGCTACAGATGTCAAGCACTGGGTCCTGGACAGAGATTCTCCGCCGCCACCCGGCAATCCCGATTATCACTGACAGGGGAGAGACCTGTGTGTAAACAACACAGATCTCTCTCCTGCCAGCAGTAACATGCTGCTGTGTATTTGTCTGCACAACACAGAAATACACAGCAGTATGTTTCCCTAGTAAAGCACACACAGAAACAGCACACAGTTAACTCTTTGATCGCCCCACATGTTAATCTCTTCCTGCCCAGTGCCATTTGTACAGTGTCAGTGCTTTTTATTAGCACTGATCACTGTATTGGTGTCCCTGGGGATGTCAGTGACAGTTAAGTTCCCCCCCAGTGTCCGAATGCCCGCTGCAGTCCTGCTATAAGTCGCCGATTGACGCCATTACTAGTATATAAAAAAAAAAAAAAAATAAAAAAAAAAAAAAATTCCAGAATATATACCGCCATTTGTAAATGCTATAACTTTCACGTAAACCAATTAATGTACACGTATTGTTTTTTTTTTATAGCACACATGCAGAAGAATGCATTTTGGCCTAATTTTATGACTAAATTAGATTTTTTAAAAATGTTTTCACTGAATATGGTTTATAGCAAAAAGTAAAAAATATTGTTTTTTTCCAAAATTGTTGGTCTTTTTTTGTTTATAGTGAAAAAACTAAAAAGCGCACAGGTGATCAAATACCACCGAAAGAAAGTTCTATTTGTGGGAAAAAAAGGACATAAACTTCACTGGGGTGCAGCGTTGCATGACCGCGCAATTGTCAGTTAAGATAATGTGGTTCCGTATCGCAAATAATGGCCTGGACAGGAAGGGGGGTAAATCCTTTGGAGGGCAAGTGGTTAACGTATCTGCTAACTAGTGAGATGCACATGTTGGGGAATGGCTGCTTCTATTAGATCCACACAAAATGTTTTGCCTAATGACAGAATCTATTTAAGGTATTCATACAAAACTGGTTTGGTGACCTAGCCTCCAAAACATAAAACAAAGGAGGGCATTCCTGGGATTGGTATTTATTTTGCTGGCTTTAATTAATAAGTTCCAAATAAATATTGTCCTCTACAGCAGGACACAGACTGCAGGATGTAAAGACATCCCTGTGAGACAATCTGGCTTCACTGCTTGTTCGCATGCTGTCACTGAACTGAAAAAGCAGAGTGATCACCTCAGAAGCATGCTAATACTTCTTCACTACACTAAAGCAGGCTGAAGGAGGGTCAACGACCATGACTAGGGTGTCTGGTAGGGGATGCCTAGATCACAAAAGTGACTGAATAAAATACAAACCTTTTGGCAGGAAAGAGGATTCACATATACTGTATGTTACCCAGTGCCATAGTTTGTAAGGTTGAATAAAGACACACAGATTTTTCATAACCCGGCACATTGCACTCGCTAAGAAACACACTTCAAAGTTTTTTGAACTTATCTATACTCTCCGATGACACCACCAACTGTGGAAGGGAGTTTCATATGTTTACTGCTCTAACCGAAAGAACTCCTTTCTCAGTATGAGAGTGAACGGCTTCTCTTCCAACTCCATTGTGTAGCCACGTGTCTTGTTTAAAGACCTTACATTAGTTTCCTCTCAATGCTGGAATTAAAAAATGTGTATGTTGCGTTCATATGCCCCCTTAAGCGTCTCTTCTCCAGGGAGGATATGTTTAAAGTGGTATTAAACCCAAAACCAAAGATATAATATATTGCATTTTACCAGTTATTAGATGTGATGGCAGCATTAGTTTTCTTTTTTAGGTTTTTCTTCCCTGGGTGATCTGGCCAGTAACACACCTCCTGTATTAAAGCACCCCCACTTTGGATGAAGGAGCACAGGGGGCACCTTTTGGACACCAGCATTGTCAGTCTGGAGGGAGGGGAGTGTTAGATGTACTAGTAGATTTAGATAAACTAACAAACTAAAGCCAAACTCCAGCTCACATTCTGAGCAGTTGCAGCAAACCTTTTTTGGACATAAAGATTGTACTTAAATACAAGCTAATGATTGTGAACACCCCTGCTATTGCTAAATGCTTTGCCTCATCTCTGTAACTGATACAGTCTGTTGGAGACCTTGTTCCTATGAAAAACACCAGACTTATTGGCTGGATCACCAGATGAAAATAGAAGAAAGAAAGACTAAAAAAGAAAATGAATGCAGCCATCAAAGAAATGGTAAGCTGCATTATAATAAATGTTTGCTTTTTGGGTTAATACTGCTTTAATGTTTGTAGTTGTTCCTCAAAAATTAGATCCTCCACCCTCCTTATTAGCTTTGTTGCCCTTCTCTGCACTCTACCCAGTTCAAGCACATCCTTCCTGAGCATTGGTGATGAAAACTGAACGGCATACTCAGAGATGTGGCTGAACCAGAGCTTTATAAAATGGTAGATAGTTTTATGTGGATTTAATCTGTGTGTCTCCCTTGTCTAAGTATCTGAAAAGAGAATGCTGTGTTGTCCATAGGAGCCAATGAGTTTTCTACTTTTTTCTAAGTGTAGTATTAGGGAATGAAAGTAAGAATCCAACTGCTATGATTAAGTTTTTTTTTGCTGTGGAAATTTTCATAAACAAGGCCCATTCTCTTAAGGATTCAGGCTACCCAAACATGTTTGTACTGGATACAAGCTGGTAGGTGGAATGAACATCAACTATTTATATCTCTTCAGCTGGTGACATATCTGCACATTCTAAGCACGCTCATCCTGTAGAGCATTTATAAGTGGGTGTTATTCTTCCTGCTTGACTTTCCATGGATTTTACATTTCAGAAAAAATGGCACAAAGAGAGAGACCTCTCCTAGATGAAAAAGTGCAGAAGGCTGGAATCAGGAAATGTTTACTATAAGGCACTCTTGGGCCTGTATCTAGGGCAGCAGAACCACAGGGATCCACAGAAAAAGATACTTTATTAGGCTGTATTTACACGTTTGTGTGTTAATGCACATTGAACTAAAAACAACTTCTTCACATTTATTGGATCTTTACTGTATAACTAAAAAGGGAAAACTTTTTTTTTTTTTTTAATAGAGTGGGGGAGGAATTGAATCACCTGTCAGGTTTTTATTGCTGTCTGTGCCCCCGTTAAGGAGATTCACCCTCTCTATTTGTCCTGTTTACCATTACCATTGAAAGTAAAAGAAAATGCCAAATTTTGGGTTATCCCCAGAAAAAGTAATAAAGAGGAAATCTTCCAATGGGGACACTAGTTCTGCTCAGCTTGGGGTCCCCAAGAAATTCCCTTAATTTGCAGGGATTTCCCCTCACTTCCTGTTTGGCTATGGGACAAGAAATGAAGGGAAATCTCTGCAATGGGACACAGATGGTGGGAAAAAAAATCTGACAGGGGTTATAACCCTTCCTTACTCTATCCAAAATGAAAAATAAAATGTGTTGCCTGCAATTCTACTATAACAAACTTCTGCACAAAACAAATGTACAATGTAATATTGTTGCAAAACACAGCGCTTACTGCTTTTACAGTGCTCTTCTTGTTTATACTGCATATGTGTGTGGAATACCATTTGGAATGAATAGGAGCTCACCAAAATGCTCCTATGGCCTGTTGTAGTGAGATGCTGAAACACGGGTTATACCAAATGCGCTGGCAAAGGTGAGGATGTGGTGAACTGTGGACGCATTTTAAGTACAAAAAAACAATAACCTGCCTCATAAAAGGCATCTTGGTTTTAATTTTCATATTTTGGTCCATACTAAATGTTTACACATGATTGCGACAAAAAAGGTGGAGCTTGTATGAAAGGGTGGCATTATGCACATGTGCCTAAAGTTGGCCAAACAAGTTACATCCAGATTGTACAACCTGTGCACGTTCACCTTTTAGATTTGTTTTTAAGATTCTATAATCCGAAGACCTACTTAAGCAACATTCAACATAAGGAGTCCAAAAAGGAGAGCCCTTGTATTGCATAGCTGATGATGTGATTTTAGTTTAAGACATAATGGAGTTGATTTGCTAAAGGCAAATAGATGGTGCACTTTGCATGTTCAGTTGCACTCATTTTCCCCTCAGCTTAGTAAATATGGTGAAGCTTCACTTTGTAAAGAATACCCAATCAAGTGCAATCATTTTTACCTGCACATGATTTAATGATGGAAGTCATTAGAACTTCTGGTCATTTACGAAGATCTGAGGAAAAAGAGTGCAACTGCACTTGCAAAGTGCACAGTCTATTTGCCTTTAGTAAATCAACCCCAATAAATGCTAAATATGGTCTTAGAGAGAACCCAGAATCAAGGAGATTACTGTGCTAGAGTCCCACAGAACAATAACATTCCCCTCGATGACTCATATGGCCAGAATTCAATTGACATAGAACTTTTGGATGGACTGAACCTTTAAAGAGCTCTGGGTATAAGATAAAACAAGACGTGTACATTACCTTGTACTGAGACTGGCTGATTTCATCCCAGTGGGTGAATCTAATCCTTCTCCTGGTTTGGTGGCCTTTTCTCGGTTCATCTGTTGCAATATTGAATTTAATTCACTAATAACATTGGCTTTTGGACTGGGCATTATTACTATGTTTTTCACCTCTGGGGAGTCGCCCCATAGCTTTGAGGTCCTTTGTAGCCCAGGTTTGAATATAGCAGGCTGCTGCAAACCTAATGGGGGTGGTGGAGGTGGAGCAGGAGGAGGGATAACAAATGTGTCCATGTTTTCTTCCAGGACAGCGTCCTTGTAAAGTGCATTGCTCTTGTTGATTATGGGCTTGACTTTTGGCTTTGGAGGTACTGGGGGCTTGTCCACTAGAAACGCTTGCCCATCTGCATAGACTGTACATGTGTCCAAGTTTTCACCACCCTCTGAAGATAAGGTAGATATGCTGGAGACAGTGGAAATTGTACTTGTCGTCTCTAAGTGGTGGTCACTGCCACTACGACTGTCCACCTCCTCTATCCCAGAATCTGTAACATTGTCAAAGCTTTCAGGATGTTGCATGTATGAGGTGGGCAGACAGTTGGATAGAGCCCCAGGCTTTTTAATTTCTAAAGAAATAGAGGCAACACCAGGAATAAATGAACCAGGAGGGAGGATGCCATGCTTTCTCTGCATCAACAAGTCTGCCAGGGTGCCGGGTGGAATTGCAGAGAGATCCTCTGGGATATCAAAACTGTTGGCAAATTCAAGAGGAGGAGGCAGTGGTTCAGTAAAAATAAAATCCTCGTCCACATCTATTGAGGCAAATGGTGGAGGAGGGATACGGAAGGGTAGGATGACGGGCTCATCCACAGAGCAAACCGCTACAATGGCTTTGTTAGGGGGTGCAGGGGTACCAGAGTTACTTGTTTTGGGTAACACATTTTCAGCAATCTTGTTAGGTTCTGAGACAGGAGCACTAGGAATTTCTAGAGATGTGTCTTTCTCTGCATCTTCATTTTCACTAAGAACATCCGCTACTTTGGTGGTGTCTACTGTATGAACCATGAGCAACCCAGCAGTTTTCTGTTGTGAGGTGTCCATGATGTTGATCAACATATTTTTTTTTCTCCTCATGACGTTTCTCCTCCTTTGCTGTGTCAGATTCATGCTTACTCTCAGTCTCTTGTCTTTTTAAGACCCCACGCTGATTTGGTCTACCTGAACCGACAGCAACTGCAGGGAATGAACTATCTGCATTGGGTCGTAGTTTGGTATCAATGAAGAGTGGTTTGTTCAGGTCAGACTTATCTTGCTCTGTAGGGTTTGGGGTGGGCTGGCTTTGCTCTTTCATGGCTTTGTCTCTAGCTGCCAATGCGAGCGCCAGAGGAGAGTTAGGGTCTAGTAATTTCCCTGTCACCGGATGCATATAATTTCCAGAAACACTAATCCCTTTACCGGAGTTGTTTTCATGTCCTTTTCCCTTCACTGACCGTATGTTATTCATGTCTCCATTGGTACCAAATGCATTTGAAGTTGCACTTGTTAAAATGAGAGAGGTTGGACCAGTGAAATGCTTAAAGCTCTCCTCGTTACAGAACATTCCCTCATCAATTGACTTGGAGTGTCTTAATCTTGGGCTAGGCGTGGGGCCAACACTTTCATCACCAAGATCTGTAGACAGGAAAGCAGGAGAGTTCCGTCTGGCCTCTAACCTTTTCTCCCTGTCCCTCACTGCTCCCCCGCAATGGCTGCAGCAAATGGACTGCTTACATTAAGGTTGTCATCTGGCCTTAACTGTCCCTGCTGTTCTGAGGCTTGGAGGTCTGTCTCCATGCTGCTTCCCTGACTGCTCTTTCCACTACTGCTAGTTGAAGGTTCTTTAATGATAATGGTTGGGATAGGAATGGAACAAGTCTTTTCAGGGCTGTCCTCCACATTGGATTGTTTTACCAGCATTCCCTTTCGTCTGGCAGGTTTGGCCGGAACATACACAGCCTTGTTTCCCAACTTGCCTACTTCAGAGTATGGGTTCTCTGGCATCTGCGCTCTCTTATTTACAAAATTTTGCTGGGATGACATTTTTGCATTATAGATGTCCTCGGAGTCCAATGAAAAGCGGTCAGTCTCATGTCTATAGAACATGCCCTTGTCTCTCATTATTGTTCCTACGTTATCTGACCGTACAGCTGGAGAGGGGGACTTTGTTCCTGCATTCTGGTTGAATGTTGGTTTAATGGTTCCATATCCTCGAGGAGCAGGAGACTTAGGCGTATTGAATGGTGATGGAGATGAAGGAGGAGGTGGTGATGGAGGCAATGTTGCTGGAGGGGGTGGAATATCTTCTGAGGCATCTGGCATGGATAAACTTCTAGTAAACTTTAGCATCGGAGGAGCCAAAAATTGTCTCTCTTCCTCTGTTATACCTGTAGGATAAAAATTCATTACAATTAATATAAATCAGTAAATGTTAGAGTAAAAATTATTCAGAACAGGAACAGAGGTGCTGCAATTGCTGACTTGTTTTTAAAGGTGTTCCAAGTTGTAATCCTTCCTTTGTTGCTTGGTAAGTCACTGACAGGGAAGAAGTATGAATGTTTCAAGTGTCCCAACAATTTACTGACTGCATATACAGTTGTGCTCAAAAGTTTCCATACCCTGGCAGAAATTGTGAAATTTTGGCATTGATATTGAAAATGTGACTGATCATGCCAAAAAATGCTCTTTTATTGAAGGATCATATGAAGCCATTTATTATCAAATAGTTGTTTGGCTCCTTTTTAAATCATAATAACAGAAACCACCCAAATGGTCCTGATAAAAAGTTTACATGCCCTGGCATGTTTGGCCTCGGTACAGACACACAAGGTGACACACACAAGTTAAAATGCCAATTAGAGGTTAATGTACCACATCTGTGGCTTTTTAAATTGCAATTAGTGTCAGTGTATAAATAGTCAATGAGTTTATTAGCTCTTACGTGGTAGCACTGACTAGGCTACATACTGAGCCATGGGGATCAGAAAAGAACTGTCAAAAGTCCTGAGTAACAAGGTAATGGAACTTTATAAAGGTGGAAAAGGACACAAAAAGATGCCCAAAGCCTTGAATATGCCAATCAGTACTGTTTAATCACCTATTAAGAAGTGGAAAGTTTGGGGATCTCTTGATACCAAGTCAAGGTCAGGTAGACCAAGAAAGATTGCAGCCATAACTGCAAGAAGAATTGTTCGGGATACGAAGGGAAACCCATAGGTAACCACAAGAAAAATATAGGCTGCTCTGGAAAAAGACAGTGCGGTTGTTTTGAAGGAGCACAATATGATGACACTTGAACAAACATGAGCTGCATGGTCGAGGTGCCAGAAAGAAGCCTTTACTGCATCAATGACACAAAAAGGCCTGGTTAGGCATGTCAAGGTGTTGTCAGGCATATTGTAACCGGGCTTTTTTGTGGCATTGGTGCAGTAAAAGCTTCTTTCTGGCACCTTGACCAAACAGCTCATTTTTGTTCAAATATCACCGTATTGTACTCCTTAAAAACAACCACGCCATCTTTTTTCCAGAGCAGCCTGTATTGAGGTTGCCTGTGGGGTTTTGTTTGAATGCCAGACAATTCTTCTGTCAGTTATGGCTGCAATCATTCTTGGTCAACCTGACCTGATGGAAAAGGACCTAAAAAGATATCCAAAGCCTTGAATATGCCAATCAGTACCGTTAAATCACTTATTAAGAAGTGGAAAATTCGGGGATCTGTTGATACCAAGCCAAGGTCACGTTGACCAAGAAAGATTGCAGCCATAACTGACAGAAGAATTGTCTGGGATTCAAACAAAACCCCACAGGCAACCTCAATACAGGCTGCTCTGGAAAAAAGATGGTGTGGTTGTTTTTAAGGAGTACAAAATGGTGATATGTGAACAAAAATGAGCTGTTTAGTCGAGGTGCCAGAAATAAACTTTTACTGCACCAAGGCCACAAAAAAGCCCAGCTACAATATGCCTGACAATACCTTGACATGCCTAACCAGGCCTTTTTGTGTCATTGATGCAGTAAAGGCTTCTTTCTGGCACCTCGACCATGCAGCTCATTTTTGTTCAAGTGTCATCATATTGTGCTCCTTCAAAACAAACGCAGTCTTTTTTCAGAGCAGACTATATTTTTCTTGTGGTAACCTATGGGTTTCCCTTCGTATCATGAACAATTCTTCTTGCAGTTATGGCTGCAATCTTTCTTGATCTACCTGACCTTGGCTTGGTATCAAGAAATTCCCGAACTTTACACTTCTTAATAGGTGATTTAACAGTACTGATTGGCATATTCAAGGCTTTGGACATCTTTTTGTGTCCTTTTCCACCTTTATAAAGTTCCATTACCTTGTTACTCAGGACTTTTGACAGTTCTTTTCTGATCCCCATGGCTCAGTATGTAGCCTAGTCAGTGCTTCCACGTAAGAGCTAATAAACTCATTGACTATTTATACACTGACACTAATTGCAATTTAAAAAGCCACAGATGTGGTACATTAACCTCTAATTGGCATTTTAACCCGTGTGTCACCTTGTGTGTCTGTACCGAGGCCAAACATTCCAGGATGTGTAAACTTTTGATCCGGGCCATTTGGGTGGTTTCTGTTACCATTATGATTTAAAAAGGAGCCAAACAACTATTTGATAATAAATGGCTTCATATGATCATCATCCTTCAATAAAAGAGCATTTTTTGGCATGATCAGTCATATTTTCAATATCAATGCCAAAATTTCACAATTTCTGCCAGGGTATGCAAACGTTTGAGCACAGCACACTATACTGCCAGAAGTATTGGACCCGCCCTCCAAAATATTCCACGGTCAACTGTTAGTGGTATTATAACAAAGTGGAAGCAACTGGGAACAACAGCAACTCAGCCAAGAAGTGGTAGGCCACATAAAATGACAGAGCGGGGTCAGCGCATGCTGAAGTGCACAGTGTGCAGAAGTCTCCAACTGTCTGCAGAATCAATAGCTAAAGACCTCCAAACTTGGTGTGGCCTTCAGATTAGCACAACAGTGCGTAGAGAGCTTCATGGAATGGGTTTCCATGGCTGAGCAGCTGCATCCAAGCCTTATATCACAGAGTGCAATGCAGAGCATCGGATGCCGTGGTGTAAAGCACGCCGCCACTGGACTCTAGAGCAGTGGAGACGTGTTTTCTGGAGTGACCAATCACGCTTCTCTGTCTGGCAATCCGACATGTCTGGGTTGGTGGTTGCCAGGAGAATGGTACTTGCCTGACTGCACTGTGCCAAGTGTAAAGTTTGGTGGAGGGGGGATTATGGTGTGGGGTTGTTTTTCAGGGCTTGGGCTTGGCCCCCTAGTTCCAGTGAAGGGGACTCTTAAGCATCAGCATACTAAGACATTTTGGACAATCCCAACTTTGTGGGAACAGTTTGGGGATGGCCCCTTTGTTCCAACATGACTGCGCACCAGTGCACAAAGCAAGGTCCATAAAGACATGGATGAGAAGTTTGGGGTGGAGGAACTTGACTGGCCTCCACAGAGTGGGCCAACTCAATATTGAACCCTATGGACTAAGACTGGGATATCATTAAAGTTCATGTGCGTGTAAAGGCAGGCGTCCCAATACTTTTGGCAATAAAGTGTATGTTATGCAGCAGTGGCACTTTGGCACCATACTTATTCAGGTCAGTGGCTTTTAGAATAACAATGCAAGTATCAAGATGACAACTCCAGGACTTGAGCCTATAAAAAAACAAGGTAGCAATCACAATTTGCATATCCATTTAGGTTTTATATAAGGGATAAACAATCTGACCAAATAAAATTGAGTTGCATCATTACAAGGTGCTGTTGCACCAATTATAAAAAATATATATGAGGGCTCCCATTCCTGGCTGCCTCTTGTAAATTGTGATGGCCAGGCTGTGTCTGGCTTCAACATTTGAAAGTCAGAATTTCTTATCTTTAATTTTGCTCTAGGTCAGTAATTCAAAGTATTAAATCCAGAGTGTCGCATTCTCAGGAGAGAGCAATGTCCAACACTTTTTGCTTATAACAAGTTCACTTCAACTTCTTGCTGGCAGTCACCTCATCTGTACTACAAATGTGGCATCTGTCAACCATGAGTTGAACTTATGCTCCAGAGCAATTTAAAATGCTTTTAAGCTTTACACTTAAGCCACTTGGCAGCTTTGCTAGAACAGTGTAAACTGTTTAAGGCAAGACCATGCGGAAAGGAGCAGAAAATTAAATAAACATTTTTTTTACTTTTTTTCTTCAGGCAAAACACAAAACTGCTTTGCTCTAGGCATCCTATACCATTTTTGTATATCTGTATGGTACTTAAGAATAGAAATACATGACTGAAGATAACAGAAATGCGAAGCCATGTATTCATTTAAAATAAAATAAAAAGATAGAAACACACACAACATTAAAATGAAATCTCATTAACATGTCTTGTAATGAAAATAATCTTCAATACTAAAAAATGTATAATCATGTTAAAACGTCAACACCACGTACATTGTAACTACAAATTTCCATGAGGAAAACAGAATACGATTTTTAAAAAACATGGAGACAGACTGCATTTGGGGAAATTTCTGACTTTATTTTCCATGTACTAGAAGATTTGAACATTTTACTAAAATTTCATTTATTTTCTCTTGTGCTTAACTTTTTTCAGTTGCCAATCCTAGAAATCTAAGGGTTAGGGATCTGTCACACTAGGCTTTGTGTTTAATAAGATGGCGCACTGACTGACTGTCACCTACAGCAAGTTGCAACCAATGAATGATCAGCTTTGGCAGTTTAGTGGCAGACACATGAAGCATCTGCAGACAGAAAATGTGAACACCATGATGCCCCCCTGTTTTGCTCCAAACCGAGCTCATTTATGGAAATGGAGGAGAAAGACAGGTAAGAAGTTTTCATGAACTGTCATTTAGATGGTATATATTGAATGCCCTAATGCTTTTTGTGCTTGGGGTAGGGAGAGAGGATTTGTGCTAAGATGGGGGATACTAGAAGGTGTGATATGGGAGGAGAAGGGAAGTTGTGCTAGGAGGGGAGGGGAGGTTGTTTGTATTAGGAAGCAGGATTGGGGGGGGGGAATATGTGCTAGTAGAGTTGAGAGAATTTATGCTTGTGGGGGGTAAGTGTGCAGATTAGTGCTTGATTTTTATTTGGGCAGAGAGGGAGGACATTTTGCTGACATAGAAAACTCCTACATCTTCACCCTGGGCTTTGCCTTCCTTCCCCTGCTCTATGCAAAATTAAAAAGAAAGCATTGGCGTTGGTGCATATCTTGTGCTAAAAAAACAGCACATTACCACACTCTCTCTGGTTTTCAAGATTGTTGAAATTCTTGATGACTGCTGTACAGAAAACTTTAGATGCCTATGCTTTTTAGTTATTCTTTTC